ATCTCGAAATGGGGACAGGGACCCCCGAACTTGGGACAGGGACCCTGAACTGGGGATGGGGACCCCGAAATTGGGGAGGGGGACGCCAAAATTGGGAGAGGGAGCCCAAAATGGGGGACAGGGACCCCAAATTGGGACAGGGACCCCAAAACTGGGGATGGGGACCTCGAAATTGGGGACAGGGACCCCAAAATTGGGACAGGGACCCCCGTAATGGGGACAGGGACCCCCAAAATGGGGACAGGGACCCCCGGGCTAACCCCAGGACCCCCGAAATGGGGCCAGGGACCCCAAATTTGGCACAGGGACCCCCGAAATGGGGCCAGGGACCCCGAATTGGGGCCAGGGCCCCCCGTACCTGGGAGCCCCCCAGGGCGGTGACCGCCGTGACCTCGGGGTGGGCGCGCAGGGTCCCGGCCAGCCCCGGGGGTCCCGCCAGGACGTTGAGCACCCCGGGGGGCAGCGCAGCCCCCTCCCCAGCCAGCGCCCCCAGCAGCAGCAGCGGCGGCGCCGTGGGCGGGGGGCTCAGCACCACGGCCGTGTTACCTGGGACCCCCAAAAACTGTGAGAGACCCCCCAAAAGGGACCCCAAAAACCACTGAGACCCCCCCACAAAAGGGCGGGGGGCTCAGCACCACGGCCGTGTTACCTGGGAGCCCAAAACTGGGTCACCTGGGGGACCCCAAAACCCCTGAGACCCCCCAAAAGGGACCCCAAAACCTCTGAGACCCCCCCCAAAAGGGCGGGGGGCTCAGCACCACGGCCGTGTTACCTGGGAGCCCAAAACTGGGTCACCTGGGGGACCCCAAAACCCCTGAGACCCCCCAAAAGGGACCCCAAAACCTCTGAGACCCCCCCCAAAAGGGCGGGGGGCTCAGCAGCACGGCCGTGTTACCTGGGACCCCAAAAACTGTGAGACCCCCACCCAAAAAACTGTGAGAGACCCCCCCCAAACCCGCTGAGACCCCCAAAAGGGACCCCCAAAGTGTCCCCAGTGTCCCCAATCCCCCAGCTGTCCCCAGCTGTCCCCAAGTGTCCCCCCAGTGTCCCCAGTGTCCCCAGTGTCCCCACTCACCCATGGCCAGCAGTGGCCCCAGTTTGCTGAGCAGCGCTGGCAGCGAGCAGGGACCCAGCAGCACCACGGCCACCACCCCTGGGGACACGGGGACACCATGGGGACAGGGACAGGGACACACAGGGGACAGGGACAGGGACAGGGACAGGGACCCAGCAGCACCACGGCCACCACCCCGGGGGACACACGGGGAGGGGACAGTGGCACTCACAGTGGTGACACACAGGTGACACACAGGTGACAATGGCGCTCACAGGTGACACAGTGGCACTCACAGTGGTGACACACAGGTGACACAGTGGCACTCACAGTGGTGACACACAGGTGACAGTGGCACTCACAGTGGTGACACACAGGTGACACACAGGTGACAATGGTGCTCACAGGTGACACACAGTGACACACAGAGGTGACAATGACACACAGTGGCATTCACAGTGGTGACACACAGGTCACACACAGGTGACAATGGTGCTCACAGGTGACACACAGTGACACACAGAGGTGACAATGACACACAGCGGCACTCACGGTGGTGACACACAGGTGACACACAGGTGACAATGGCGCTCACAGGTGACACAGCGGCACTCACAGTGGTGACACAGGTGACAGTGGCACTCACAGTGGTGACACACAGGTGACAGTGGCACTCACCCAGTGGCCTCCAGCCCCGCGTGTCCCCCGTGTCCCCCGTGTCCCCGCCGTGTCCCCGCAGCAGCCGCAGCCCCAGCTCCAGATCCGCCCCCAGGGTCCGGCAGAGCGGCCGCGCCCCCAGCAGGGACAGCAGCGACGCCAGGGTGGCACCGGGGTCACCAGACAGCACAGCGGCCAGCCTGGGGACAGAGGGGACATTGGGAGTCATTGGGGACAGCAGGGACACCAGGGTGGCACCGGGGTCACCCGAGAGACTGGCAGCCAGCCTGGGGACAGAGGGGACAATGGGGACAATGTGGGGACAATGAGGGGACATTGGGGACAATGGGGACAATGAGGGGACAATGGGGACATTGGGAACAATGGGGATATTGGGGACAATGGGGACAATGAGGGGACATTGGGGACAATGAGGGGACATTGGGGACAATAAGGGGACATTGGGGACATTGGGGACAATGGGGACAATGAGGGGACATTGGGGACAATGAGGGGACAATGGGGACAATGAGGGGACAATGGGGACATTGGGAACAATGGGGATATTGGGGACAATGGGGACAATGAGGGGACATTGGGGACAATGAGGGGACATTGGGGACAATGAGGGGACATTGGGGACAATGAGGGGACATTGGGGACAATGAGGGGACAATGAGGGGACAATGGGGACAATGAGGGGACAATGGGGACATTGGGAACAATGGGGATATTGGGGACAATGGGGACAATGAGGGGACATTGGGGACAATGAGGGGACATTGGGGACAATGAGGGGACATTGGGGACAATGGGGACAATGAGGGGACATTGGGGACAATGAGGGGACATTGGGGACAATGGGGACAATG